ATCTCCCCCCTCCCTAAATACCATTGATTTGTGGTATTTAAATTATTTCCATAACTGTAAGAGATATTTGACTCAAGTTAAAGAAAGGAAACCCTGCAATTAACTTGAGAAAATTGGCTGCCTGTGTGAACTTTCAACCCTGGGTTCTGTTCACACAGTTTGATGCCTGTCTCATGCTGCAGCACCATGAGGCCTCTTACAAGACAGTGCACTAGACACTGACGGGGCAAAATGCCATTGAGAGAAAGGGGAGAATCTTTTTCATCACTGTATTCCTGACATAGTCATTGCTCAATAGATATTTTTTAATAAATAATAAAAGATGAATTACAGTGAAGTATTCCTGACATAGTCATTGCTCAATAGATATTTTTTAATAAATAACAAAAGAGGAATTATAGCAAACATCACTATAAAATTGGCCTGGTAATTTAAATTGTTGAGAACATTGTCATTTGTGAAATTTGAAGATGCAAAATACATTTTACAAAGTAGTTCTCTGGCTTTATTCTGCCCCAGCCTTATTGTTGTTATTGTTAGGTGCTGTCAAGTCAAGTACGACCTTATGAAGAACAGATCTGAATTCTGTCCTATCCTGTGCCATCCTCACACTTCCTGACACATTACAGGCCACTGCGGCAGTCACTGTGCCAATCCACCCAGCCGAGGGTCTTCTCCCTCACCAACCCTCTGCCTTTCTGAGCATCTCCAAGGAATATTCCCTCCCAGAAACATGCCCAAAGTGTGAGATGAAATTTCATAATTCTTGCCTCCAAAGAGCACTCTGACTGCACCGTCTCCAAGAGGGTGTTCTTTTGGCCGTCCATGGGATGTTCAGTGCTCTACTCCAACATCACAGCTCAAAGGCATCAATTCGTCTTCTGTCATCTTTAGTGATTGTCCAGCTCTCAGATGCATAGAAAGTGATTGGAAAGACTGCGGCCTAAATCAGATACACCTTAATCCTCAAACTGACAACATTACTGCTCAATAAATTGGAGCGGTCTCTAATTGCAGACTTTTCCAGTGCAATATGCCTCCTTATTTCCTGACTGCTGATACGAAGGGTGGATCCAAGTAAGATGAAGTTGTTGACAGTTTCAACATTCTTTACCTGTTGACATAACACAACTTTAGGAATTTATGTGCCTTTTTATATGCTTTATGTACAGTGGGCCTATGAATTAATGTACTAATCTCTATATAAAGCATAATAAATGATGTCTAGAATAGATAATGAAAAAATATATAGTAAATAATGACTTACTAGATATAGGTAATATATCCACATAGATAATAGACATATAATAATAAAACAATAATAGAGAGAGAGATCTGGTAAAGAGTTGTGCTGCCAACTCAAAAGGTTCAAATCCACCAGCTCCTTAGAAGAAGAAAGGTGGGTCATCTCCTCCCATGTGATTTACGGCCCCTGAACACCCTTTTGAGGGTCAACTATGAGTCGGTTCAGACTCAACAATATGTAACAACAATAACAACATATAAATAATAAAGAATGGATAACAGAGAATAGATAATGATTAATAAGAATAAGGAATAATGACAAATTTGTCAAACACAGCATAACATAGATGAACCAGAACAACATTGTACGGAGCCAGGCTTGAAGGGACAAAGAGTGTCTGAGTCCATTGTTGTAAAAATAACCAACCAAAAAACTAAGGGAAAGTGTGTTGTTGTTGTTGCTTGCCATTGAGTTGGAACCAACCACAGTTGACCCTCCAGTTGGTTTTCAGAGGCAGTAAATTGCACAGAAGAATATTGCCCATATTTCTTTAATGAAGTAACTGGTGGATTTGAACCATGTGCCTTTGGAACTGCAGCAAAGCTTCTTACCACTAAGTCACCAGAGCTTTCTAAAATAAAATAGGTAACATCAAAAAGGTCTTTAAAAAGCATTCTTTATTCCTGCTGGAGTTTGCTGCCTATTGAAAAAAAAAATAAGGCAAGTGCATATACAGCAATAAGAGGATATCAAAGTGTGGCGCTGTCCAGAGTAACCAATAAAGGAACAGCTGAGAGGGAGACTCCAAGCTTGATCTCTGAGGGAGCATGCTGAGGGCAATGGGAGTAAGATCAGGAGTAAATGCAATTTGGAAGAGAGAAGTTGACTTAATGGGTGTCACAACTGTATGGAAACTGCAAAGGTGAAGTGGGATGCAAGTGGATTTAAGACAGCTAACCAGTCCTCAATTGTGTTCTGGATGTGTTACAAGGAGGGATCAGAACCTGGAGAAGGACATCATACATGATAAAGTAGAGGGTCAGGCTAAAGACGAAGACCTTCAACAAAATTGATCCAGTGAGGGAGTTTTGCTTTTGCTTTTCAAGGAGAGGAGCAAACGGGGCGGGGGGGGGGGGGGGGTTGTGGGGGGGGGAGGGTGGAACAGTGAATGAATGGAATTCCAAAATCTCTGTAGATGTTCATTGAAATGAAAAATAAATAAATTTTTAAAAATTTAAAAAAAAATTGATTGACACAGCGGCTACACCGGTGCACTGACACGAAGCAACAGCTGGGAGAACGGCACAGGAGCCAACAGTGTTTCGTCCTGTTCCACAGGGGTCTTGATGAGTCAGAGTCCGCAGCACCTCACAACACAGAGGGGGAACGCGATGTGCCTAACGTAAGGAGCTCTCATGATACATTATGTGTGAGACTGCCAACCAACAGGGTCAGCAGTTCAAATCCACCAGCCGCTCTGGAAGAGAGAGATGGCCCGTCAGTCTCCTTCTGTGAAGATTTAGAGCCTCAGAAAGCCGACGGAAGGCCACTATAAAGCAGAATCGACCTAACAGCAGTGGGTTTCGGTTTGCTGTGGCTGCTGCTGTTCCATGCCGCTCATGGACTCAGAATAGCTCGGCTCCAATGCTGGGACCTTGAAAACCGGCCATCAGGCCTTTCTTCCGTGGTGTCTTTAAGTGGAATTAAACCATGAACTTTTAGGTAATCAGCACGTGTTTTTGCACCACCCAGACACACATCTGTCCAATCAACACCGACACAGAGTCGCCCTGTGGGACAGACTGCATGGCCCCAGAGGCTTTCCAACACTGCGCTCTTTAAGGAAGCAGCTGGTAGGTTTGAACCACCAAGTGTTTTAGCCTCTCCACCACCAGGGTTCCCTTAGCTTCCCTTGGAAAAAATGTTTCAATGAATACTTACTGTTTCTTTTTAATGGGTGAACTATATTTTCTGATGTGATGTACCATAGTTTCATAATTATTTTTTTAGGCTTGGGGCTATTAGATACTATTGCAATGACTGTTTTCTTGCATAATTGTATCACTTCTGTTAATGTGAGTGTCCCATAAAAGGACTGATGGGATCAGATGCCATGAACATCTTCTGGCCTTACACCCTCCCACAATGGTGTATCTCTATCTAAAAGGCTTGTGCATATTTGCAGCCAGGATGTCAGTTGAAAGATTAAACTGCATCTGGCCCAAGGCATGGTGTTTTTTAATGGCTTCATTTTCATGTGAAAGTTAAGAGAGTGAACACAGAAGCCAGTGAAAGACCAGTGCCTTTGAATTGTGATGTTGGTGAAGCGTATTTAGCAGACCATGAACTGCCGAAAGAACGAAGAAATCGATCTTGGAGGACGTGCCACCAAGCTGCTCCTTGGAGGCAAAAATGATGACGCTTCATCTTACTCGCTTTGCACATGTTTTCAAGAGGTGTTAGTCTTTGAGAAAAGACGTCGTGCTGGAGTAAGCAGAGGGTCAGTGAAAGAGAGGAAGAGCCGCAGTGAGAGGAAGTGACATAGGTCCACTAGAACGGGCTGGAGCATGATGGAGAGCGGGAGGGGGATGCCGGACAGGACAAGGTTCTGATCTGTGCTTCGCGGGGTTGCAATGAGTCCTGTGAACTGGACAGTCCCAACAACAAGAATCTACAACTCAGACAGCAGCAACTGGGCAAACCTCCTCCATTTTTGTCTTCATCTTCACTGAGTGTCACATGGATAGCTCCAAGTACGCTGCACTCTTCAGATGAACATTTCCCCCTGGGTCTTCCCTCTGTATTTCCCCCCCACCCCCGCTCCCAATATATTCATATCTTGCTGTTTTTCCTGTCTCCTTTTCTCCCATGAAGTCAGAAAGAGGGAAGAAGAAAAAGAACCCAACTAGTATTAAAGCTTTGCCTCTAGCTGTGTTTATTATTTGGGGTGTTCTTTATTTTTTTCTTTTCTATCCTTTTGTAGGAAGACTTAAAAGGAGCTCAATGCCTTTGTTTACAAGCCTCACCTTACCCTGAAATAATTGGTGTAGATCAAAGGCGGCGGAGGGATTGGTGCAGAGTGATCCGCTGATAACCAGTCCTCTTTTCATTTACCCAGCGGAGTAGCTTTCACATTCGAGAGATCACACACAAGCTTGATTTTTCCCTTGCTGGACAGCCAGCTCCAGGGGTGATGGAGAGGTGGGAGGAGAAAAAGTCTTATCTCTGGCCCCCAGGGATCAGTGAGAAGGTCTGAGGAGTAGAGAGAGGAAGGGAGGCGGAGAAGGGATATTTGGTTTTTTTTCTTAAGTGGTTATAATTAAAGCCTTCCACACGGCTGTTCAGTGAACCAGAGAAAGGTATTTGTGAAATTGTGTGTGTGCTTTCCAGGACCTCTGGGATGTACCTTGCATCAGATTGTGCAGAATACGCTGCTGCTGCGGCGCCACCTAGTGGGGAGTAAGCATCCTGTAACTCAACTGCTTGAGGTTGGGACTACTCATTCCAGGGTCACCATGCTACCCCCTTGTCATCACGTTCGTGCCCTAAAAATCAGCAAGCTCTGTGAAGGATGCCATCAGCTGCTATATTTTTACAGAATACTCACTAAACAGAAATCTAGAGCTCAGGGTACATATTGTGGTCTTGTGTGTCAAACCAAGAAACTGGACTGGGTGTTGGCTGGTGTGGAATTTGTAAGGTTACTGGTTCAAGAGAACAACTAAACTGAGGCTTCTACCTTTTTGTTTTCCAGGAGGAAACAAACTGACCAATCAGCATTTTCATTTGAGTTGGGCGTGGATCTCCTTTGAGAAGGAGTATTACCTGGTCAACGAGGACTCACCGTTCCTGGATGTTGTTCTTAAACGCAGGGGTTACTTGGGAGAAACTTCGTTTATAAGTAAGCTAAATGAAGGGAGAGGTGGGCTTCTGCCTCAAAATCCCATTCTGCAGCACAGATTCTTGATGTTCCTACTGTATTGAAAATAGCAAGTTGCTTTGAATAAGCTAAGAAGATACTGACATTCAAAGTGAGAGAGATTTGTGTGGGACTAATACTGCGTGTTCTCTGCACCAGCTGTGCCCTGGTAGCATAAGGCTGGTTTCATTTTTTAAAAACAAACAACTAAAACATTTCAACAGTTGCGCTTGAGCAGTTTCCAACTCAGGATAACCCATGTATGTCAAAGGAGAGTTTGCAACGTGGTTGTGGGTGAATGGCTGTCTTTCGGTCCAGTTTCATTTCTATTTTGAAAAACCAGAGTTTTTAACCCCCTCTCCACACTCTTAAAAAAAATTAAAAATTTAAAAAAAAAACCTCAACTTTTAAAAATTAAATGAGAAATGTTACCGAGCATTTCTTTTTTAGACTTTTTAATACTCTTGCAGTCACAAGACATTATGTCTCTTAAATCTGCCTTGTTTTCCAGTTTCTCTAAAGGTATCATAATACAAAGAAATCCTTTTAAAAATCGTTTTCTATTCGTTTGACTCACTGAGAATCCTCATAGATTTATTCTGCTAATGACATACTGGTATTTGTGTGTCTACAGTTTTATAGTTTTTCTTTAATTGGTGCTTATTACAAACTGCCTCTATGGTTTGAGCAATTGGCCCAGGAGTGGTGAAATCTCCAGACAGCACAGTCAGAGATTTGGAAATCTAGTCCTCCCATTAACTGAAACGGGCCTCGAGCCAAACATTCTGCTCTTAATAACCCTCTATCCTAGCCTGTTGCACTAACGGAAAGAAAGTTGGTTCAAACCTATCAGTGGCACCATGGGAGACAGGAGGACAGCCCCCTCCCATCGAGATTCACAGCCTCAGAAGCTCAACGAAGGGTTGATATGTGCGTGAATCAACTCAACAGTGGGGCTAGTAGTCTCCAGTTCTTTTCAGATGATTTCATGGAACTCAAGGACAACCCACAAAGAAAAATCTGAAATGACCATGTTGGAAAAACACTGAATTGGGTCCTCTTAAATGTTTAGATAGTATTATAAAGTTATTTGTTTATTCTTAGCAATTTATGACTTAGAGGGTCTATTTGACTCACAGAGCCTCTTATTAGCTTGTATTTTCTAGTTAGAGGATTTTTCCTTGTCTTAATAATATTTGAGGGAAAGGTGGGCATTTGTTTCCCTTGCATTTTATAGCATTGTAACACCCACTGTGAGCCTGTTACAGCTTGACAGCTATGAGTTTGAGGTATTGAGTTTTATAATATACAGCTGCGTATGCAAAATAGATGCAAAACATGCAAAATAGGGTTCTTTAATAGCTATATATTTTGCTGATAACTAGAAGGTCTGTGGTTTGACTCCAGTAGCTGCTCCTTTGGAGAAAGCTAGGCATTCTCCTCCCCTAAGGATTCACCACCTGGGAAACCCAGTGCAGTGGCGTTGTGGGTCAGACCAACTGAATGGCAGTTAGTTGATTTAGCTGATTATATACGTAAGGGATCTTGTACTGTAGACAGTTCAAATGTAAGGTTATCAGTACCAGTTCCCTTTAAGTGGACTCAGGCTCATTGTGACTGCAGTATATCCAAGTAGAACTGTGTTCCAAACAGCGTCTGAATTTTCAGAAGAAAATTGCCAGGCCTTTCTTTCGCAGTTCCTGTGGGTAGGCTGAAACTTCTAACATTAATCATTTGTGCCACCCAGGAACTCTTAGTATAAGAGTTTGAAAATAAAAATCAAAAAACATCATCATGGGGTCTACTCATATGTCAAGGGCTACATATGCCAAAACCAGAGTTAGAACAGCTGCACACGACACCTGTTGGAAGACACTTTCATCATACAGCCTGGGAGGCTTAATGAGTAAAGAGTTCCTTCCACTGGCAACTGAAAGGTAGTTGGTTTGAATTCACTAACTGTTCTTCAAAGGAAATGTGGACAAATTCCCCTATGTGATTTACCACCTCTGAAAACTTACTGAAGGGTCAACTTTTTGGTGTCACCCCACTCCTAGTGCTTTTCATCATAGAAACTCAATTTAAACTGCTGCTGCCCAGGGGATTCCAACTCCTGGTGACCCTCCATTCTTCATGGGAGGAGACTCCCCATCTTTCTTCCATGAGCAGCTGGTGAATTGGGTTGTAGGGCAACATGAGACACATTGCACCACCAGAGCGCCTCCTGTTGAATTTCCCATTTCAAGGAATCAAAAGAGCCTTAGTGCTGCTCTGCAGAGTAAATAAGACAAAAAGGCATTGCTGCTGAGCGGATCCCAACTCCCGGCATCCACATGCGTGTACAGGGTGGGATATTCCAGGGCGTCTTGTCTGTAACCCTAACCCTAAGATCTTCCTTCCTTGCTGCTGGTGTTGGGTTCGAACCTCCAATGTTTAGGGTAGTAATAGTCAGCAAATCATTTGATCCCCCAGCGACTTTGAGCTGCACACAGAGTCAAAGTAGACGTCAAACTGAAATGATGCTCTTGTTTTTTCCATGGAGGTATTGGCACGAGAGACGGCACTGCGCAAAGAGACAAAGACTTCAGGGGCAAAGCTCAGAGGCAAGTGCAGTTCAACCCAGGCCAGACGCGGGCCACGTGGAGGGTGCGCCTGGTGAGCGACGGCCAGTACGAGAGGTCCGAGAGCTTCCAGGTGGTCCTGTCCGAGCCCGTGCTGGCGGCCCTCGAGTTCCCGGCCGAGACCACGGTGGAGATCGTGGACCCCGGAGACGGTAGGGACACTCTCAACTCTCCTGTCTTTTCTTCCCCCCACAAATAATAATTTTTATTTGTAATTATTAAAAGGCTGAATTTTAAACAGATTCTTGAACTAGTGGCTCATAGCCATCAGCTGATTCAATTTTAGCACCTGTCTCATCTCCAGTAGCTTTTCCAGAGCGACCACCTTCACCACGAAGCTCCATGAGTTTGCCCAATTCAAACTTCGGCTTCTTGAGCATTTTTACTTTCCTAATAAACACAGCATGGAGAGGATAAATAGACTGGCAAGCCTTTTCTGTGTCTTTCCCAATGCTGTCTGGAATCAATTTCTTGACCACCTCTTTCAGGTTATTTGTCTGCACCTTTTGGGTCATGATTTCCATCGTTTTCTTCCGGATTTGGCGGACCTGTTGATGCTGAGACTAAGATGTCTTCTGAATCTGATTGTGGCATTTCAACTCTCCTCTCTTATGCTTATGTTTTTATGACAAAACACCTTCTACAAAAAGTGTCAGTGTTTGGACTTTCTGTGAAGATACAAATAGCAGAGCCTATGCCTTTGAGGCCCTTCCGATCCTGGCAACCCCGTGTGACGAAAGGGGAGCTGTGCTCTAGGGCTGTCTTTATGGAAGCTGATTACCAACCAACCAGCCATTTTTCCCTAAAATACCAATGGATGGATTTGAACTGCCAACCTTTAGACTAACCTGTTGCTGTCTAGTCAGTTCTGACTGCTGATATCCCTGTAGGATAGGGGGGAATCACCCCACTGGGTACTGAAGGTTGTCATTTTTCTTTCTCCCAAAGGATGGCTGGTGGGCTGGAACCACCATTAGTGAAATACTATTAATCTTTCAGCTAATTGTCACCGGTTAAGACTCATAGCGACCTTACTTTGGGTCTCTGATGCTGTGAGTTGTACAAGAGGAAATTGTCCATCTTTCTGATGGATCCAGACTATCAGGGGGACAAAGCCTTAGAATTACCAGAATAACTTCCTATATTGTAGGCGGAGAGAACGAAAATACCTGTTCAGGTAAACCTTTCTTTTTTTCCCCAGTCTCCCGTGGACTGCCGAAAGAACAAATCGGTGTGTCTTGGAGAAGTCACAGCCAGCATGCTTCTTGGAGGCAAAGATTGCCAAGCCTCCTCATTCATACTTTGGACTTGCAGCTAGGCAAGGCTGGACTTGGAAAGGCTGAGGGTCGGCAAAGGAGAGGAAGACAGCCAACGAGATGGGTTGACATGGTGACTTCGGGATAGGAATGAGTGTGTCAGAGATGATGAGGACGGCTCAGGATAGGGCAGGGTTCGAGTTGGCTGTTCACAGGGTTGCTGTGAGTCATACTCACCTTGATGACACCTAACAACAGCAAACTCTATGCTAGGTTATCTCTGTGTTCTTCTTCTAATTCCATCCTTTTTAAAAATTAATTTTAATGAACATTTACAGAGATTTTGGATCTCCATTCATTCATTGTTGCACTTTCCTCCCTGCCCACCCCTCCCCCCAGTTCGCTCTTCTCTGAAAAATAAAAGAAAAATTCCTTCATTGCTACACAATCCCCCCTCCCACCCCGAGTACACTCCACTATGCAGCCTCATTCTCGACTCTCGTCGTAGCCATAACACGCAATCATATATCGCTTTCAAACATCTAATTCCATCTTTTTAGGACCAATATTGTGTCTGTCATTTTTTTGTGGATTAATTTATCACTTTCAAAAACAAATGGCTTAAAAATTAAACTGAGGATTCGTTGCTTGTCCGCATTTTATGATCCAACTTCCCTACATCTAGTCACCATCCAAGAGTTCTCGTTTGGCCATGGGTGTCTGCATTTGCTACATAACATCCGAAGGAGTCATCCACCCGCTCCCTCTCACGGCAAACACAGCATCTCTGACCAAGGCTCATTTCTACCAGATTAAGTATTCTCGTCAGTGCACCCACCACTGGCTGAGGTTGGTAAAAGTAAACCTTCCTGCTTTTGTGTGTAATTTGACCTTTTCCTCCCCTGATAGTTTTACAGCCCTGGCTTGTCTCAAGGTAGTAAGGGGGGGCTGGGGGGAGTCTGACGGGTTTTTTGAGGGCTGGAGTTTACACAAAGCTTGTAGACCCTCTTGTAAAGCTGAAATCCTGTCAGGAGCCAGACATGGTTTTCTTTTAAACTGCCAGCCTACTCTATTTTGTCAGTCAGAAAACTCTTAAACGTCCTGCAAAGATATAATCTACTGAGACTCATGAGCAAATGCCTGTGTTAGACGACCGGGTGGAATTGGAGCGAGAAGATAGAAGAGCAGAGCTTCATTTGTTTAACTACCGTCTCTGCGTTTTAGTTAAATGCGAACTTCAATTACGTTTATGATTTTCATGAAAGCGCAGTTAGCATTTAATTAAATTTTATCTGCATTATCGAGGGATAAAGAATTAAAATTTCTTCTAGCCTTGAGTAAATGCTTACAGAATTAAGGGTTGGGTTGTTGGTTGTTTCCCCCCCCCCCTTCTCTCTGTTCAACAAGCCCATGACAGTTTTAATAGCCATTATAAACTGGCCCATTAGTTAGAGTTTGTTTCAAGTCTTTGTGGTGGTGTTTACCACTTGGCACAACAGTCATTCTTTACCTTTAGAAATTAGACATTAAACTCCTTCCTGTCTTCCTATTTATAATTTCAGAGTGATGTACTTAGTCTAGGCAGTGCGGTAGTAAAAAAATTAATCCATCAGTCTCTCTCTCTCTCTCTCTCTCTCTCTCTCTCTCTCTCTCTCTCTCTCTTTCTCTCTTTCTCTCCCTCCCTCCCTCCCTCCTTCCTTCCCCCCCCCATGCCCAGACTTAATGGAAGCTAGCCAACAACCAGATAAAACTCTGCCACCATTTCTTTTCATAAATGATCATCTCCAAGTTTCTAGAATTTTCTAGATTAATTCCAGCCCTCATCCCTGATAACTGAGCAGTGCTGTGTTGAAAATTGGTCTTGACATTGTAAGTTCAGACTTTACCTCCTAGGTCTACCACTTATAGTTCATTGTATGTTGTTGTTGTTGTTGTTGTTGATTGCCTTCAAGTTGAGCACAGCTCATAGCGACCCTATGAACAAAAGGCCTGAAGCCCCTCTACAACTATCGACATTTATCAAAGTTCATAGAGTTTCCAGAGGCATGTTGTTTAGGAAGTGAATGTGACTCTTGCTTCCAAAGTATGGCCTTGAGCAAATAAAAATGGCTTTTATTATAATTTCATTTCCCAATGTACAATGCATAGATTGTCTTTTCTAATCCTATGAACCTAACGTTATTGTTATGTGCCATCGAGTTGAAACTATCATTTTAAGAGATTCCGTATTCCTTCATCTTTCCACAAAGAGTTGGTTTCTGAACCACTTCCATTTTCTGAGGCCGTAAATCTTTACAGAAAAGATTGCCTGTGTTTCCCCTGTGGGGTGTCTGGTGGATTTGAACTGCTGGCCTTTCATTTAGCATTTCACATTGTATGACCAAAGTTCCTTTAGAAGCATATAGATATTACTTAATAGTCATAATTTTCCTTTCTGTTGTAAGAAAGCATGTAAGAGGTGCAAGTTCTTATTTCATGTAGTAATTCCATTTCTTTTTTTCCTTTTATTTCTAAACAGAATTGACTTAGTTTTATGTATATTTATTGTACATAAATGACACAACTTCATATATAGAGGTATTGGAGTAACCGAAAGCCTGAAAGTGTTTGGGGAAATTGATTAGTTTGTCCAGGTAGAGCGTCTTCCATCTTCTAATTGAAATGGGCTTATTCTCCTATATTTATAGCTAAAACTCAGTTGTCAGGTAATAGATTCAATATTTGATCTTTGTAATTGCCTTTGGTAAGGCGAGATCAGGTTAAACTATTTAATACGTTCTCGTGCTGTGTACCATCGAGTCAGAACTGACCCACAGCTGACCCTCCAGCTGGCTTTCAGAGACGGTTAGTCACATGGGAGAAGAGTGTCCATCCTTCTGTGGAGTAGCTGGTGGATTTGAGCCGTGTGCCTTCAGGATTGCAGCACAGCTTCTTGCCAACAGTGAATAAATACATTATTGTAGAGGAATATACGGTCAACACTCTTGGCACCAGCAGCCAGGAAATAAAAAAAATGTATTGCGATGGGAAAGTCTGCTGTTAGGGACCTCTCCAAAGTACTGAAGAGCAATGGTGTCACTCTGGAGACTAAGGTGTGCCTGATACAGGCCATGGTCTTCGCAATCACTTGTTATGCATCAGAGAGTTGGACAATGACTAGGGAGGACAGAAGGAGAATTGATGCCTTTGAGCTGTGGTGCTGGAGAAGAGTATTGAGGGTACCATGGACTGCCAAGAAAACAAACAGATTCATCCTGGAGAGGGTTAAACCAGGCTGCTCCTTGGAGGCAAGGATTCTAAGGCTTCATCTGACATATTTTGGACATGTTGTAAGGAGGGACAGGCCCTTGGAGAGCGACATCATGCTTGGGAGGGTGGAGGGACAGCGCAGGAGAGGAAGGCCCTCTATGAGGTGGATTGATTCAGTGACTGGGGTAATGGAGATGGGTGTGTCAGAGGCAGTGTGATTGGCACAGGCTAGAGCAGGGTTTAGGGCAGTTGTACATAGGATCGCTATGAGTCACAAGCAACTCGACGGCACATAACAACAACAACAGAGGAATATACATTTTAATGTATTTTAATCAAAGGAATATTGCTGGATAAAAAGAAAGACAAATCAAATTTCATAGTGTGTTGCATTGCTGACCAAAAGATCGCAAAATGTTCAAATCCCCAGCTGCTCTGAGGAAGGAAGATGGGCAGTCGACTCCTGTGAAGAGTTAGAGCCTTGGAAACCTAACGGAGAATCACTATGGATCAGAACTGACTGGTCAACAGAGGGTGTTGATGGCTTAGGGGTTTGTTTGGTTCTTTCTCAGTTAGGTTCGATGAACCAAACCTGTTTCATGAGCAAGAAGTCAGATGGTATAAAGTAGTTCTATAATATTTACCCATTGGCAATATTGACATAGGGAGATGACTGACCGATGGTTTGTTTTATGCCCAAGTTGACAGCCTAAAATTAACTAAGGGCTAGCTAACTGCACTAGAGAAAGAGAGAAGCCCCCCCCCATGAGATAAATTGAAGCAGCAACTGCCAACAGTGGGCTCTGATATATCAGAGACGGTGAGGCTGGCACAGCATAGGGCACAGCTCAGCTCTGGTGTCCACAGGGCCACTGGGAGTCGTGGTTCACTTGGAGACACCTAACAACAACAGCCAACAGCTACCTGCAGCACTGGGGAGGGTGACAGAGGCTTCAGGAATTGCAGCTTCGACACTTTTTCCCTCTGAAGGACTCTGCTCAGTGTGAAGCATGAGTCATCTTAAAAGAAACAAATATTCCAGCCCCTTGTTAAGTGGTCACACATTTGACGACACTGATAGGTAAATGAGAAAACAAATAGTACAAAACAAAGCTATTTGAAAAATGTGCTGAAAGATTGCATGGTCACTAAACAATGATGTTTAATATATAAACAAAAATTATCCAAAGATTCTCTTTATTGAACAAGTTTGCATTGTACTGAAAGATCATCTCAGACCTCATATTGTTGTTGTTAGGTATTGTCCAGTTGGCTTCAACTTCTAGCTGCTTAATACACTAGAACTAAATACTATCCAATCCAACACCACCACCACAGGCAATCAGTGCAGCAATGGACTGCATTAGAGATGTATTTGGCAGTCCACTGGATTAATCCACCTGGTTGAGGGTCTTCCTCTTTCAGCAATGAATTTTTATTTTACCAGATATGATGAATTCGTCCCTCCTCAAATGACCTTATAAACTGAACCACCAATAAAACTTACCATGTGATTTACATGTTTTCACAGAGCTTAACAGGTTGCCCTATGAACCAAAAGATCAGCAGTTCGAATTCATCTGCTAGCTGTATAGGGAACAATGGGAGGTCTCCTCCTGAAAAGATTTACAGGCTTGGAAACCTGACTGAGGAGTTGGGGTTGCTAGAAGTTGGGGTTGCCATGCTGAAAATGGGTTTTTGGTTTCTGTTACGAGGTCCTTTGGCGAGAAACCAGCCACAGAAATGTCAGAGCCCTCCATGTACTGTCTTCACACACAGAGTGGAAAGCTGTTCCCAGCATCACTGGTCAGGCAGTTTGTGCACACTGTGTTTTTGTTTGTATTGTTGTTGCTATTGGTTCCCGAGCTAGCCCCTGGCTCATCGGATGCCACGCACAGTGACACAAAAGTTGCCTGACCCTGCACTACTGTCCTTTTAACAGGAGGCAGACCGAACTTCTGCTTTCACTAGCTAAGTTTGGGAAGCAGAGCTCCAGGCCTTTCTTCCTAGTGCATCTTAGTCTAGAAACTCTTCTGCAGCCTGGAATATATCCCTACAGCATGCAGGCACCCGCTGACAGACCAGGGGCGGGTGTATGTGAGAGACATTGGTCAGAATAGAACCCAGGTCTCCTACGTACAAGTCAGAATTCAGCCATCGAACCACCACTGACTGCATCAGAACAGCATCAGTTCTGACTTATTTGTAATGCAGCAAAGGGGGGGAAGGGAGTTTGTGGCACAGTCCCTAGAGAATTGCACTACTGACCAACGAGCCATGCCTCTCTGGTGGTTCAAATCCACCAGTGGCTCTGGGGGAGACTGATGGGGGGAGTTTCCTCTCATGCAATTTAGAGCCTCAGAATCCCAAGGGAGGGGCAGCTATAAATCAGATCTGACATGACAGCTCAGAGTGAGCGTGACAGCTAAGAGAGCCTTCCTCAGTCTACTGCGCTTTGTCTGCTGTCGGTGCTCAGTTCTTCTCTGCCGTTAGCACTGTCTTCCTTCCACATCCGTGTGTTATAATTGAGGAGAAGGAAGAGCATTTGATCCTTTTTCACATATAACTGCAATTGCTTTATAACTGAGAACAGAAGTCTTTCTTCCATAACTTGCAGCAGTGCCAAGACTTAAAAATAAAAACTTGACTTGCAAAGCAAAGTATTCATTTCAGGATGGTCACGTGGCCTAATAAAGAATGAGGCCAGTTCTTTCCGCTTTATCTGCGACTATAAAGGGTTATGGCTCCAATCGGACCTATTTCCCCTTCTTTGAAGAAAAATGAAATGAGTCCATTTAATAGGAAATGTAAAAGTGATAGTTGTTCATTGTAGAAAAGTCTGGGGCGTGTGAAGAACTAGAAGATAGTCAACTGTAACCCAGACACTTAGGAATAATTGCTGTTAGCATCTGAGAGGACTCACTGTGGCTGATTTTTCTTACGTGTCCCTTGGACTTGGTGAAGGGCCTGCTGCGTTTCTGCACGATAGTCCTGGATTTTCTCTCAGTGACATAGATGCATACACATGTACATGCATAGACATAAAGAGCCTGACAGTCTACATGTGAAGTCAGCCACTGAAAACTCAATGGAGTTTGCTCTGCACTGACACACGTGGGAGGCTTATATGTCATACGTGACTCATGGGCCTTTACAGATTTTAATTACAAAACTTAGAAGGGGACTAATCATGTGTTGTTGTTGTTGTTGTTTTTGTTGTTGATTTCTGTCGAGTCAAGCATGACTCATAGCGATCCTGTGAACAAAAGGCCTGAAGCCCCTCTACAACTAGCAACATTTATCAAAGTGCATAGTGTTTTCAGAGGCATGTGGTTTAGGCAGTGGAAGCCACTCTTACATTAGGTATACTAGTAAACCGGGAGACCTATGAGGTCAGCCATGAGTCAGAATCCACTTGATGGCAACTGGAGGCAAATACATACAAAGCATCCATGGCATACATGCACATACACCCACATATATGTATGTATGTATGTATGTATGTATATATATATATATGTATATGAAGCTCTGGTAGCTTAGTCTACAGTGAGCTGGGTTGCACATCCAACACGATACTTCTTTCATACTCAAATTTTTGTTGTTGTTTGCTGCTATTTATTAAGTTTACTTTGCCTCTTACTGACCCAATGTGGCAGAACATAACTGCCCAAAGGGGGTCGTGAGGCTGTAATCTTTAAGGAAGCAGAGTGCTCGATCTGTCTCCAATGGGGTGGGGGGGTGTTTGAACTTCTACCATCAGGGTTCCTTTTCCTAAAAATCTAGGGGTTTAAATAATGAACTATGGTACATTCACACAGCAGAATACTGTGCAGCATGCAGGAGCAATGATTTTGTAAATCACTACCTAACTTGAGAGGGGCTGGAGAGCATTATGCTAAGTGAACTAACTCAGCCCCATAAGAACAACTACAGTATAAAACCGTTATTGTAGAAATAGAAAGATAACTAGTAAAAGATGTATGAGGATCCAAGGGGGAAGAGTGTAGGAGCAGAGAGGAGGGGCAGAGAAGGAGGGTGCTTAATTATAGGATCACACAATTTAATGGGTAGAGGGAGTGATGGGTAAAGGAAACGGGAGAGATCCAGTGTGAAAACAATGCATGCAAACTTTGTAAGTAATCCAGTACAAAAAAAAATTCTTTAAAATAAATTAACAGTGTGACTCTAAGTTTTAAACATAATGAGAGGTTTTCTTTGTGTATTGAATCTCTAAGAGAAATAGACACGTAGTCAGATTTCAAAACAACTGTCCAGTCAACTCCGAACCATGGTGACCCCATGGGTGTGAAGAAGAGGAGTGCTCTGTAGAGGTCTCGATGGCTGATTTTCAGAAGATTGCCAGGCCTTTCTTCCACGGCCTCCCTGAGTAGACATGACCTTCAACTCTTTCTGTTAGCAGCTGAGCACGTTCCCGACCTTGGGTGGTGCACTTGGCCACAGACAAGTGCTGGTGGCGTGTTTCTTCAGCGAGCACAGTGCTCAGAATCCCATGTAGCAATTCTATTTGGAAATATGGAGGTTGTAGTGAGTCAGATTCAGTGTGACAATCACAGGGTGGGTGGGTGGGTTGGTTGGTTGGTTGATTGAAAATCTTCCAAAAGACACACATCAGGAAAAACACAGCTGTTTGCAAGATCTAAGTTCTAATCCTCACCTAACCAGTACCATTTCAGTTCAACCTTGAGCCTATGTTTCTTCTTCTATAAAATAACAGGTGAAACAAGGAGATTTCTGAGGGCTCCTTTGATTTCAGCCTGGAGAACAAAATGTAATTTAGAGAAAATGTCAACTCAGTCCATATCATTGCAGATGAGTCAGTACTGGCACACAGCTGACCCTCCAACCGGGTTTTCTGAGGCTTTAAATTACACAGATTTCCCATGTTTCTCCTGCAGAGCAGCTGGTGAACTTGAACCACCTGTCTTTGGGCTGGCAGTGCAATTCCTGACCCACTAGGCCACCAGAACCCCCTAGAGGAAATATGGAGAAAACCCTTATTAACTGAGGAGGAAGAACTTCCTGTAGATTAAAGCCATGCTAGGTCTAGTCTCTAGATTCTTTGGAGAGGGACATCATGCTGGGTGGAGTAGAGGGACAGCGCAGGAGGAGAAGACCCTCTATGAGGTGGATTGATTCAGTGACTGGGGTAATCGGGATGAGTGTGTCAGAGGCAATGCAACTGGCACAGGATAGAGCAGGGTTTAGGGCTGTTGTACATAGGGTCGCTATGAGTCGCAAATGACTCGACAGCACATAACAACAACAACAACAGGTCTAGTCTCTAGATTCACTCATTCACTGGAGAACCTGGTACCTAATTCTTTCTTCTCTTGCTTCCCATCCATGCACACTGTGTTCTTATGAAAGAATATGCAAGGTGGTGGGGAAATCAGTGATTTGGGGAGTTTTCATTTAGATAAGATTATACATATCTGGATCTCAAAGAAAACCCCTCCTGGTTGTGCCTGCATTTTCTCCTTAGAGTCGACGGTCTTTATCCCCCAGTCTGAATACTCCATCGAAGAAGATGTTGGAGAACTCCTCATTCCCATCAGGAGGAGCGGAGACGTGAGCCAGGAGCTGATGGTCGTCTGTTCTACACAACAAGGTAGCTGGATTTTTAAATAAGTAGAAATATCTCCCCATTGGCATATATAAGCCTCAATGTCGTACCGCTGGCATTTAGCCATAATGATACATTTTATTATTGCATTTCTCATGAAGGAAAAAAAAATCTTAGTCCAGAAGTCTTCATTCAGTCAGAGAGTAGTGGAACCCTTGAGACGGTGGCCCTAAGTCAACCTTCAAACTTTGAACAAAATCCCCTTTAAATGGCTTAACTTTCAGCCGAACAATAGGCAGGCCTATAAGGTGAACAATAATAACATCAGGGAGGCCCCCACTCCTTGGAGTCATCAACCATATCAGGACAGAATAGGCAGTATTTGCCCAAGGAGATGAAGATCTCCAGACAAGAAGGGGTAAGATAGAAGGATTAATGGAAATGAGAATCATGGGAAGGAAGAGGGGAAGGTGTGATTATGGTGTGGATATTGTAATTAATGTTATAAAACAAAATGCGGATGATTGGTTGAATTAATAACCAACCTGCTTTGTAAAGTTTCTCTCAAATCACAATAAAAAAGTTAAAATGAAGTCTTCCTTCAGAATTGCAATTTGGAAGACTCAGCTCAAGTGATCTTTTTTCACCAAGCATTTCTGACTTTGCATGTTATTTATTGTAATACTCAGGAGTTTTGACAAGCTGAAGCTAAAGACCTTCATCTCATACCTGCTTGAATATAAAGTAATTGTCATTTTAAAATAATACAAAGCAATGCACATTAAAGAAAAAGAAACTAATTTCAAACTAATCTAAAACTAGTACGAAGTTCATTTCAGACGAGAGGCCTAATATTCATCCTGCTCAGAAGTAAGCGTCTTCTGAAAGGTGATATTTTAGAAGACAGTGCTAAAATTCCTCTTAGCCCTCATTGCTATACAACACATTAGGAAAGACCCTGGTTTTATAAGAACATAGAAGAAAATGTCACATATGATGTTGATGACCGAGCAGATTTTTGTTGGAAAGGTCCCTGAATTGTGTGGTTTGAAGGCACAACAGCCGTCCACACCAGCTCGCGCTCCAGGTCCCAGAGCTGGTGTATAAGCCTCAGTAAACATTAGTCACCATGTGTGCAACACCTAGTAGAGTGTTAGGGTGTGAATGAGGTGATATGTGTAACACCATTGGCACTTGGCCTATGTGTAGCAAGAATTTTAATGTCACCCCATTGCTGTGGAGTGAGTTCTAGCCCACAGTGACTTTATATGTAAGACAGAGTAAACTGCCTTGTAAAGATTGTAAGATGGATATCCTGGTTGATTTTCAGTCTCGGAAATCCAGTGGGGGTCAGCTATGTCTGATTCAATGACAATGAGAAAGACACACACACACACACACACACACACTCTCGGGAAGGAGGAACCCCGGTAGTGAGTAATATACCAGGCTGCTCACCATGGTTGGTGGTTCGAATCCACCAGCTGCTCTACAGGAGAAAGATGGGCAATCTCATCTTATACTGATTTACAGCCTCAGAAACTCAACAGAAGGTTTCCCTGAGTCGGAACCGACTAGAGAGCAATGATGTAATCTTTTCAGAAGCCAACTGCCACCATCTTTCTCATGAGGCTCGAGTAGACTCAGTCTGCCCAGTGTCAGTTAGCAGTCAAGCATTTAACTGTTGTACCTGCTAGAATGTCTTTAATACTAAAAACTATTGTTGTTGTTGTTGTTGATTGCCTTTGAGTTGAGTATGACTCGTAGCGACCCTGTGAACAAAAGACCTGAAGCCTTTCTATAACCATCGACATTTATCAAAGTTCATAGAGTTTCCAGAGGCATGTTGTTTAGGAAGTGGATGCCACTCCTGCTTCTAATAAGACTATAATATTGTTGCTCTCAAATTTCATTGATGGGAAAGAGAGATGAAACTCTTGACATTTAATATGCCCCATGTTTGAGACAGTTATGGAGCTGACACCAGACACCGGAATGGTATTGTGGTTGTCAGTTCTGACTCCTGGTAAACCCATATACAGCTTAGGATGTGTCCCATCCTGAGCCAGGTTCTGCTCATGGTTGAAGCTACTGGATGTAAGTAGCGTCTCCCAGCTCGTACCAGGTAGTGCTCTGCTCTGATCTGGGCTGTTGTCTTGAGCTAATTCTCAGGATTAGATTGCCAGGCCTTTCTTCCTAGTCTTAGTGGACACTCCATTGAGAACTCTCCATGATGAGTGACACACCTGGTATTTCAGATATTGGTAGGACAACTTGCAGCATCACAGCAACACTCACACCATTAATGTACAGCAAACAGACCAGTTGTAGAGCCATCTACACAGTTATTATATTATCCAATTGTTGAATTCCATCAAGTTGGATTGGACTCATGGCTGACCCTTCAGAAGATGTTCAGAGGCAGTAAATCACGTGAGAGGAGATTGCCCATCTTTCTCCTGTGGAGCAGCTGGGGGATTTGAACCATATACCTTTGAGTTACTTGCCACTAAACCACCAGAACTCCCTTAAAATATACCAGTTGGGTTTTGACAAGCACCGTGGCAATTGGACAATTAAAACAGACATTCGGGGTGGGGGGGGGAAGAAGAACAAACTGGGAAGGAGGTTAGAGAAAACAGTGCAACAATGAATAAATGAAAACCCAAAATCTCTGTAAATGTTCATTAACGCTAATAAAATTTAAAAAAAATAAATTATAAGCCCACCCTTCAAAAAAAAAACAACCCAGTTGGTTATTAAAATGCTGCATATGAAAAAAAAAAACCAACCCAACCCGTTTCTGGTAACACCCTTGCAATATCTCCTAATGAAAGCCTTTGGGATTCTCTCCGGCTCCAGGGACGGCCACTGGAACTGTCCCGACGTCGGTACTGTCCTATTCTGATTACATATCCCGGCCTGAGGACCACACCAGCATCATCCGATTTGACAAGGGCGAGCAGGAGAAGGCATGTCGGATCGTTATCATCGATGACTCCTTGTACGAAGAGGAGGAGGCTTTCCAGGTCCTCCTGACTTCACCCATGGGGGGCAGGATTGGGTCAGAGTTTCCCAGTGCCCGAGTTATCATTGTTCCCGATAAAGATGACGGTGAGTACATGCTTACCTGAAAAAAAAAATCATACCTCGTGCCAGCCAGTGAAAACTCAGGCACAACTTTCTAAAGTCCTAAAATAATTGTAACGTGCACATTTATTTGAAGCTTGACTTTATAGTGTGATTAGGTTTCAGAGTTGACTGCAGTAATGAATTTTTCTTCCTTGATTTAACATTCTGTAAAGAACACAGGTGCGTACGTGTGTGTGTCTGTGTGATTTCTCTGATATTTACTCTAAGGTGATTGGACACTGAATTACATGAGAAAAAGCCAAAGTCATCATAATAAGCCCAATTTATTTCCTGTTGTTTGTGTATTTGCTTTGAAAAGTGGTATTTTGGAGCTTTAACTTCAGTTTTGGAACCAGTTTTTCAAAGTCAACTGTCAGGCGAGGCTGTTAAGTGAATAACCAGAAAGATAACAAATGGAAAAATTTAAGTCTAACTGGCAACTTAAATAAAGGGGTCATTCCTCTTCAGGGAATCTCAAGCATCATGAAGTAACCTCTCTTTCCAGAAAAGAAATGGAGCAAAAGGTTCCTAATCTTCTTGGGTCAAGAATTGTTTTGTGTTTTCTTATGAGAAAAGGAATGTCTTAGTTGCCAATATGATTGCAACAGAGATCCCACAAGTGAGTGGCTTTAACAAACATTATTCTAGTACAGTTTAGGAGGTTTGGAGTCCAAGTTCATGGTCCTGGCTCCAAGAAGGCTGGCTGGCTGTTGATGGTGGAGGCAAGTCCTTGTTTCCTTCTGCATCTCTAAGCTCAGTGTTCCTTGAAGAGTCCTTTGCATCCTGCCCTTCCCTGTGTCAAGGAGCTTCAGTGAACGCACTGTTATTGGCAGTTTTCTCCTGGTGGTGCTGAAGTTGCGCCCTCTTGACTCACTTCCTCCCCTTTAATCTCTAGTGAGCTGTTTTACCACTTGAAGAGGCTGAGGGAATGCTATGAACTGATGGTGCTAGTACATGGCAGCAGGTGTCCTTAAAATGTGTCCTGAGGTGGCCTAGTGGTAAGGAGCTGTGCTGCAATCCCAAAGGCATGTGGTTTGAATCCACCAGGCATTCTGTGGGAGAAGGATGGGCAGTCTCCTTCCGTGTAGTTTACCTACTCTGTAAAAATGCTGGAGGGTCAGTTAAGGGTCCATTCTGGCTCGATGGCAAGTAAAAATAGTGTAAAAAAAGGAGCTGTCTTGGAGAAGCTGCAGCCAGAGTGCTCTTTGGAGGCAAAAAGGAGGCCTCACCTCACTTACTTTGGACATGTTGCTAGGAGGTGCTATTCCTTGGAGAAGGACAGGAGGTTGGGAAGGGTGGAGGGTCGACGAAGGCGAGGAAGACCCTCAACCAAGTGTATTGACAGGGTGACTGCTGCAGTGGTCTCTTGTGTGTCAGGAAGTGTGAGAATGGTGCAGGACGGAACAAGGGTCAGATCTTTTGTTCTTAGGGTCGCTATGAGACGTACTCATAGATGGCACCTAACAACAACAGCAACAACAACATGTGTAGTTTATAGAATTCTAGATCGAAGACATTGTCACTAAAACCTTGGAGATTTTGTTTTATTAGTTCCTAAATTTTTATATTACAGCTTGTTAAACTAATACCAATCTGAAAACAAAAAAATAAAAAGGAGCTATAGTGTATAGTATTTAACTCATTGAGCTACAAAGTGGTTCGAATCCAGCAGTAGCTCCTAGGGAGAAAGGTGTATGGTCTCCTGTAAAAGCTTACAGCTAGGAGACTGCGTGGATGGTGCTGTGAGTTGGAACTGACTTGATGGCAGTGGATACTGAAAGATTCAAACGGACCTTTTTATATCATGTCCAGATTATGGAACACTCTTCCCAGGCCTCGATCTTGGGACACTCTTCCCATGGAGGGATCCCCGCTGGCATAACCAAAAGGGAGTAGTTTGAATCCACCACCAATCTGAGGCAAAAAGACGGGCAATCTACTCCATTGCTCCCTCAGAAACCCAGCAGTGGGCTGCTAAGAGTCGGACTCGACCAGACAGCAGTGCAGTGGGTCTGACGTGGGAAGGCTTCCTGAAGCCCAGATCCACACTGTGCTTTCCCCTTTACACCATACAGAGAGTCTAGAGATGGAGAAGGAAACTTTGGGGGGCAGGGGGTGAGCATTACATTCTGGTTTTTCTGTCTGTGGAGGTGATCTGGGCGCCTTGAGTGAGCTTGTTGATGTCTGCTGAACAGTGATAACGATAACGAAGGTTAAACGAGGTGGGTTGTGTCTCCTTACCTCACTCTCCTGATGACAGAAATCTAGTGCTTCATACAGATCATGTTGTTATATACGATTGAGTCAGAACCAACTCATAGCTGACCCTCCAGAGGCCGTAGATTACACAGGAGGAGATTGCCCATCTTTCTCCCATGGAGCAGCTGGGGGATTCAAACCGTGTACTTTTGGGTTGCCTACATAACTCCTTTACCATTAAGCAACAAGAGTTCCCTCAATAGATCATGTTATTTTTGTTGTTGTTGTTTACCGTAGAGTCAGAACAGACCCATAGCTGACCCTTTGGTGGGTTTTCAGAGGCAGTTAATCACACAGGAGGAGATTGTCCGTCCCTCTCCCAACAGCAGAGCCTCTAGTAGATTTGAACCATGGGCCTTTGGGATTCTAGCACAGCTTCTTGCATTGTTGTTTGTTGTTGTTGTTGTTGTTATGTGCCTTCGAGTGGCTTGCAACTCATAGCAACCCCATGTACAACAGCCCTAAACTCTGCTCTGTCCTGTGCCAACCTTATTGTTTCTGACCCGCCTACCTCCATGACCCCAGTCACTGAATCAATCCATCTTATTGAAGGTCTTCCTCTCCTGTGCTGTTCCTCCAACCTCCCAAGCATGATGTCCCTATCCATGGATTGGGCCCTCCTTGCAACATGTCCCTAGTATGTCAGATGAAGCCTCAGAATCCTTGCCTCCAAGGAGTAGCTTGGTTTCACCCTATCTAGGATGGACTTATTTGTTCTCCTAGCAGTCCACGGTATATTCAGTACTCTTCTCCAACACCACAGCTCAAAGGCATCAATTGCCTATCATCCCTACTCGGTATCCAGCTTTCTGATGCATCACAAGTAATTGCAAAAACTATGGCCTGGATCAGGTGCACCTTAGTCTCCAAACTGAAATTGTTACTCTTCAACACTCTGGAGATGTCCCAGACAGCAGACATTCCCAGTGCAACTTGTCTTTTGATTTCCTAGCTGCTACCAAGAGTGTTAATTTTAGAGCCAACCAACTGAACAATCTCAATTTCTTCACCATCTATCATGATGCTACCAATTGTCCTAGTGGTGAGAATCTGTCTTTTTAATGCTAGTTAAGCTTCAGTCCATTTTGAAGGCAGCAGTCCTTGACTTCCTGCACCAAGTGCTTTAGATCCTCCTCAGTTTCAGTAAGCAGAGTTATGCCATCTGCATATATAACACAGATTGTTGATGAGTCTTCCTCCAATCCTGATGCCGCATTAATCCTCACAGAGCTCAACCTCCCAGATGATCTGTTCTGCATATAGATTGAAAAGGTATGGAGAGAGGACATATCCCTGGCATACACCCTTCTCAGTTTTGAACAATGCAGTGTTTCCTTGCTCAGTTCTGATGATTCTGGGATTCTCCTTTTTCTCAGAGTCAGCCACAGTTTGTGTGATCCACAGTCAAATGTCATTGCAAAGTCAAGGAAACACAGATTTTCCTCTAGTACGCTCTGCTTTCCGGCATCCACTTCCAAAATGGCTTGCCTCCGGAAACTCCATGTACGAAGAGTGCACAGGCTGTTCGTTCATAGGGTCGTTATGAGTCATCTATGACTCGACGGCATCAAACAACAGCAAACAACAACGCTCTGCTTTCAGCCAAGATCCATCTAATTAATATTAGCCATAATATCCCTAGTACCATGGCCTCTTCTAGGCCCAGCCTGCAGGCAGTTCTCTGTTGATGTGCTATTCCAGTTGTTTCTGGATAATTTTCAGCAGAATCTTTCTTGCAGGTGATATTAATGATATTGTTCAGTAATTCCCACACTGTCACATCACCTTTCTTTGAAATGAGACCAAATATGGATCTCTTCCAGTCAGTTGGCCAGGTGGCTGTCCTCCAGATTTCTTGGCACAACTTGGTGAGCGCATCCAGGGCAGCATCTTTTTGCTGAAATATGTCAATTGGTCTTCCATCATTTCCTGGGGACTTGATTTTTTGCCAGTTCTTTCAGAGCAGCTTGAACTTCTTCCTTCATCACCACAGGCTCTTGCTCATATGCTGTTTCATTAAATTCTTCTGTGTCCTCCAATTCCTTTTGGTACAAAGACCTGTATACTCTTTCCAGCTTCTTTTAATGCTTCCTGGATCATTTAATATTCTGCCCAAAGCATCCTTAAGTATTGCAGCTTGAGGCTTGAATTTGTTCTGCAGTTCCTTCAGCTGGCATATAAACCCATAAATACAAGATGTAACTAACTAAGGGGGGAGGGCTGGGCAGGGAGAAAAGTGCTACAATGGAAATCCACGATCTCTGTAAATGTTCATTAAAATTAATAAAAGAAAAGAAAATAAATTTAAAAATATGTAAGAATAAACCTAACTAGAGACACAAAAGACCTATATAAAGTAAACTGCAAAATATCATTATAAGAAAAATAAAGAGACCTAGATAAATGGAAAAATATACCATATTCAGGGAGCTCTGGTGGCCTAGTGGCAAGAAGCTGTACTGCAAGCCCAGAGGTACTAGGTTCGAGTCCACCAGATGCTCTGCTAGAGAAGGAGGGGCAATCTCCTCCTGTACCAGTCAGATCTGATTTGACAGTAAACACACACACACACACACACACACACACACACACACACAAAATAATAAAATTTAAAAAAATTAAAAAGAGAAACTTAAAAAAAATACCATGTTCATGAAGAAAAAAACAAACAAACAAAAAAAGATATAGCTAAGGTTTGCCCAAAGAATGGAGGTTCTAATCCA